CAACCTTCCTTCCGAGGAGTGGCTGGTGGGTTTGAACCGCCAGCCTTCTGGGTAGCAGTCAAGTGCTTTAGCCACTATGCTACCAGAGCTCCACTTTCCATATCATGGAGGCATCCTATACCTAGTTATTTACTCAAGAGAAATAAAAGATTATGTTCACTCAAAGACTTATAAACAAATATTCACAGCAGATTTATTCACAATAGCCAAAACCTGAAAATAGCTGAAATGTTCAAAAATAGGTAAATGGATTTAAAAATATAGCTATATCCAGACAATGGAATACTATTAAAAACTTTTATTATACTTAATAAGGATGGTTCTTAAAATAATAATGCTGAGATGAAACCAGACAAAAAAGGGAGTACATACTGTACAAACCTATTAATAAAAAATTCTAGGAAATTCAAATTAATTTATAGTGATAGAAATTAGAGATTAAGAGTGGGCAAGGACATCCGATCTGCAACCTATACAACTATGAGACCAGAAGAACTAGATGGTGCCCAGCTACCACTGCCATCCACTTGGAAGGGATGTAGGAGATCCTGCATAAAGAGGGAGAACAATGTGGTACAAAACTCAAAATCATTTGGAGGAAAAAAAAAAAAAAAGAAGGTGGGGACCAGGTTTGCTGGTCCAATGGAGCCTGGTGTAACCACTGAGACTATGGCCCCTAGCTGCCCTTCAGGTCTGGAATTGAACCCACAACTGTGGTTTCCAGCCAAACAAAGTACAGGCATGTGAGTTAAACATTTACCTCAAGTAGACACACGCCCTGGAGAGAACAATCATGGGAGAAGGAAGGGCTGCTTATGCACAGGGAGATAGCTCAGGTTAGAGAAGAGTATGAAGGGATGGGCACTGGGAGGAGGTAACTATGGGGAGGAAGTGGGAGGGGAGCTGCTGCATTGTAAATTTTGGTCAATGACATGAGACAAAGTATATGTGAACTGCTGTATGAAAAGTGAATTTACTCTGTAAATCTTCACCCAAATCCTAAAAAAAAAAAAAAAAGATTGAGCTACAAAAAAAAAAAAAAAGAGTGGTCAAGGAGAGGCAGGATGTACAGACTACAAATAGACAAAAGCAAACTTTTGGAGGTGATGGCTATGTTCATTATTTTGATTCTGGTGATGGTTTTACATATATAAAAACTTTGTCGAATTGTCAGTTATTAAAACTGGTTATGTACATCTAGAGAACAGAAATTTATCCATCAATTTTAAAGAATGAAGCAGGGCTAATAGATAATGAAAGTTTCTAAGATAGATTGTTAAGTGAAAAAAATAAAGAGTACCGTGAATAATATACAATCCTTTGTTATTTAAAAAAAAAAAAAATGTTTACATAACCAACCCATCCACAGTGCTTCTACATGCACAGAATATCTTTGAAAGATATCCCAAAATTGAGTAACCTCCCCCAAAAAGGAAACTAGGGTTTGGAGTGGGACAAAAACTTATTTTGCATTCAAACTTTTTTGAACTATATGTCCCCTTACCTATATTATGTTTTGAAAACAAACAAAATGACCCATGGATTCCATTTTTGGGATCTGTCCTACAGGAAACCTGGGTAAGTACAGAAAGATATTTTTACAAAGTTGCTCCCTGAACAATTGTTACAATATGAAAAACTGGAAAAAATGAAAATATACATGTTAAATTAAAAAAAAATTGCTTATAAACTTTTTGAAATATAGAAAAAATAGCCTAACCTACACACATGTGCTTTTCCTTTTTCTCTCTGAAAAATCTGGAAGTACATAGACTGTTAACAATAATTGCCTCTAGGGATGGTTATATAGGGAGAGATTGGAAAGGCTCGCAAAGGATAATTTACTTTCTATGTTTCTGAACTGCAAGAAGTTTTTTTTTATATATTGAGGATGTACTTCCTTGTAAATAAAGAAAACTAAATGAAAATATTTAAAAATTTAAGTAAATTAGTAGTTTCAGTTTGCAGAACCACCTTATTAGATGTGAAAGATTTTTTTTTGCACTAGTCCTAAGGCCACTCACCCTTTTCCGTGCTTCAGATTTCTGGAAGCACTCATGCTGTATGAAGGTAGCTGCAGCAGAAATTCTGGACAGGGGCGTGTGATCTGCATCAAGCATACTCACTGCTCGCTCCAGAGTCATCTCCATGTCGGCATTCCTAGACAAACAGTCACAGATTCAGCACAATACCAAACCTGCTCCCTCCTGTTCACCAACCTGATCTTCTAGGGATGACTTGATTAATATTGGGAAACAGCTATAGTGTCTGAATCGTGGCTATTCGGCTAAAAGAAAAACCAGCACCCAGAGCAGAAGGTATAGGAGCTAGCAGCAGAAATAATCCAACTCTGGTCACACTAGTCTTTGAAGATGTCACTGAATTGAGTAGAACCATAAAAATATACCAAAAAGAGAAACTGACCTTTATTTAAGATATACCTTAAAAAATACCATTAAAGGCACAATAAGACTTCAGATGAAATTAGAAGAAATTTGTTTATGGAAATTTAAAAAAATACTGCTCCCCTACTATCACACCTAAAGAGGAAATATCTCTCTTAAAAAATTACTAGATTTTTCTCAAAGCTGCTGTTATTTCACCTGAAGATGGAGTTTACAAAATAAACATTCTAAAAATGTTTTTATTTAATGAATGTAGCAGAACATATACAGTAAAAACCTGCACAACTGAGTTTTGTGAAAATATGTTAGTGTGACAGATATATTTCAGAAAAGGTAATGATTAAATGCAATTATAAATATATCTTTTCTTTTTTCTTGTGTACTTATTAGTGACATCAATTACCTTGGTCAAGGTGTGCACACTTCACCCACATTGGTGTTACCTTTCCCATCACTGAAAGCAAAAAGTATCTACTATCTAAAGAGAGATCCCTTTTCTTCCCCTGCACCTATGCCTGGTAATCACCTGTGAACAATGTATACCTATTATCTTTTTATAATAGTAAGATGATACAAGGCACTCTGGTGGCATAGTGCCTAAGGCATTTGACTACTAACCAGAAGGCTAGCGGTTCAAACCCACCAGCCCCTCCTCAGAAGGAAGATTGGTGTTCTGGTTACCTTGTGCCACTCTGACAAGAATATATCACAAACGGGATGGCCTTAACAAACAGGAGTTTATTCTTACAATTTGGAGGCTTTAAGTCCAAGTTCAACATGCCAAGCTCTAGGGATTGGGTGAAAACCCCTCAGCCTTGGGCTTCAGCTCTGCCTCCAGCTCCTGGCCCACTGAAGCTAGAGGCTTTTCTTCACTCAGACAGCTGCTAGCTGCTGAGGCTGCCAAGCCCAAGGTTGACAAGTAAAAAGGCACAGTCCCTTCCCGATGTTACCAAACCACACAGCAGTTCATTAATTCAAGTCCATGGTAAGTCCCAAAGTCGGCAGAGCATGGCAGGCAGCTGAACAACGACACAGCTACATGCAGGATCCAAGCATGCCATAAGCTAGAGACCATTCCCCAAGGCTTCTGCTTATATACAGGAAGTAGACCACATACCCTAAGGCAGCTACTCAGCTGCTCACAGCAGATTCCACCATGGAGTTGATTAACAGCCTCATCATGGGGAATACTACATCCAGCTGCCCAGCCACTCAACCAGGCCCAGCCAAGTTGATATACAAACTGAACCACCACAATTGGGCAATCTAATTCCGTAGAGATACTGCCTTGGAAACCCAAGGAGGGGTTACTATGAGTCGAAATCAACTCATTATTTGTCTTTTTGTCATTGATTTATTTCACTCATTATAATGCCCCCCAGATTCATCCACGTTATATTTTGAGAACTCATCATTATTTTTATGCCTGCATAGTATTCCATTTCTGTGGAATACTACATGTCTGTGTACTACATTTTGTTACCTGTTCATCCATTGGCAGGCACTTAAATATGTCTTTTCTTAAGGAAGACAATTTTACATATATCCCAATACTATTTATTTGCTTTGTCATTTTATGTAATGGTATTCTGTTTATGTCTATCCTAGTGGCACATTTTTGTTCTTTATTAGTTATGGGTATTTTACAGTAGTAATAAAGTCTGATGTACTCTGTCATAAAGAGGATAATTTATAGAGGACAAACACAATAGCTACTAATAAAACAGTAACTCCTCATAGAACTATTCCTTCTCTCCCCTTTTATTTCTGTCTGGAGAGTGATTAAGTTAGGTGGTCTATTATCAACATGGATGTCAGTGCGTTAGTGCTTCTATAACACTGCTTCACAGAAGCCATAACTCAGGATTGTCGCTAATTGTCATTAGAATCGTTGCTAATGACACCTCTTATAGGTAATCTCAGACCCTTTTTGGGCTTCAAAGATGGTTACCTAGACCTATTCATTCCGGGTTATAGAGACTCCTTAGATATCCTGAAAGGTGTTTTCCAATATGTGCTAGCAAGCACAGTGACTAAATTCTCTATCAGGCTAATCCATTAAAACATGTATGTGTGTACAGATGTAAGTGTGTGTAGGGTTGTGCATGGTATGCTTGTATATGGATGGCTGTGGTACAGTTGAGGGGATAAGGAATAATAGCCTCATGATTAAAAACTAATACCCACTGCTTCTGAAATACAAGTTCAAACATAAAAGTATTACTTCATAAAGATAAGGGTATTAAAAATGAAGCAGAACATTTCTGGCATCTAGACTGAGCATTATATAATGATCTTATGCTCCAAGATATTGTGCCTCAGGAGTCAATTTTAATTGGTAAAAAATGTAAGCTATTACCATTAAATGCAGAATTTGAGCCACTTTCATTTAATATAAAAACAATTTTCACAGAGATGGAAATACTTCTATGGACTCCAATGCTTTTACAAAGATATTGAAAGTCTGTAAGTCTTTTTCTATATGGCAATTTTATATCTTTATCATCTATCACAATAGTTGATTAAGAATGATGAAAGATCATTCCTAACATAATAATAGCCTTCTGTTTAATGCAGTCATTTATTTATTTCAGATTCAGCCATTAACCTACCTCATAAGCCAGAAATGACTCAGGAAACTTTGGATTTTCCAAGTCTGGACACCCACAAATAATTCCATTACGGTAACCCTTTACTTTTCTGAATGTGATTCACAAAGAAGCTCTGTATTTACTCTCAACCATTCCAGTACTACCGCACTTTATCACAAAAAACAATTTCCAAACCGAATGAAGATTTCTTCAATAAGGAGATCTGCTACAGCTGTCAGAGTGTGAGTTATCTGTTTTGTTATTGTCTCTAAAGTCCAACTCCATAACAGCCTCACATTTTGACACCAGTCTGGCTCTATTTCCTGTCACCCTCAACCCCGTTTCTACCCACTCCTCTGATCTACTACTCCACCCACCAATTACACCAGTCTTCTAGTTGTTCTCTAAACACAGCATGCCTCTTCACAAAGTCACCCTCTTTGATTTTTGTGGAAAGTTCTTCCTTCTATCTGACTAATTCTTACCTGTTCTTCATGACTCAACTCAAATATCATCACTTTTGTGTAATCTTTTCTCTGGGGATCTACCATCCCCAGGTAGAGCTACTCCTTTCATCCTTTATTCTACAGTACTCTACTCCTTCTCTCCCTCCTTCCCTTGCACAGTCCCTCCCTCCTTCTCTTTTCCTCCCTCCCTCCCTTCTTCCCTTCCCACTCACTCATAAAATACTTGTTGATGTCTGTGGAAATGTGGCTTGAGAGATGGCATTGGAGATGTGGGAGAATCAGGAAGAACAGTTTTTCCCTGGCTCCTACTGTCCCCTGAGCTTATTCTCCAGAAGGGAGACTTTATAGCACCTTGGAAGGGAGACTTTATAGCACCTTGGAAGGTTGGGCGATCTACTTCCGTAGTGATATTGCCTTGGAAACCCAAGGAGGGGTCGCTATGAGTCGGATCTGACTTGATGGCAGTGGGTGGGTTAGCTAATATGTAAAAATGATGGTTAATTTAAGTGAAAAATGTAAGAGGCAGCACTGAAAACTATTATTGGTCAAAATATGAAACACTGCATGAAAAAATCCAAAGTAGAACTTATTTTCATGTATTTGGTCACCCAGGAATCAACTTTCTTGCCAAGTGACAACACAGCCCTGCTGTAGGCTGGTTCCCTAGTATCGGAATATGGCTGTTCCTCTGAAGGCCTAGCAAATAAGAGATAACAATGGAAAGCTATTGCATGTTCTCAGATGCTCAATAAGTGCAAATTCCTCTACCTCACAAAGATTGCAAAATGTGGTAAAAGTACTGGTTTGGAAAGATGACTACTCAAGTTAATATATGTTTCTAGAAATAGAGAGCTATGAGGGTACTAAAAGAGTCAACTGTGGCAATAAGGCTTTGAACAAGGATATAAAAATAGAAACAAAAAGAAAGAAACAGCTGAATAAGAAATGAAGAATGGAAGACAAAAGACTAGGCAATTAGGAGAATATTAAAAAAATATTAAGAAAAGAAAGAATGTGGAGGGAAGTCACCATGTCATCCTTTCTGCTCTCACTGTCTTTCTATGTTGTCTCCCTCAACTCATCCCAGAGAACATTGTTCTGTTTCTTCTCTGAATTCCTCTAGACACTAGTATGTACCACAAAACCTAGTAATTGTCTACATGTGACATTTTCTTTTTCACTAATCACTTCCTGGACCTTCATATATTCTACTCAATTTATATCTCTTCTGGTATTTATCACAGTGCTGGGCACTCTGGAGGAACTGAATCTAATATTCATTTGTTAAACTACCAGTCCCAAAAAGGTATGTAAACAGTATTTTCAGAAAAAATCATCTATAATCCTTTACTAAATGGCTTTTTAACCCTTTTTTAGCAATCTGATTTAGAATGGGTATTGACTGTCTCCTTTAATACAATGCTTTAGTTTTCAACTGTACTACTAACTGTGTGACCTGTCATTCTTCTTTCGTAAAGACAGATCCATTGCTTAATATATTATGCCAATTATGTAGGTTTATAGTTTTACCTAGCTATTCTGTAGCGTTGTTCCACAAGTATGAAAGAACATTTCTTTACATGTGGGAATTTCACAGATAGAGAGAAGCAGATGCAAAAAATAGGGAATGGGCAGTTTGACATGTGAGACAACAAAAAACAAAGGAAAAGAGTATGTGGTCTTAGGGGACAGGTCTC